CTCTTAAAGGGTTATTAGTTTAAGTATTTGCTATTGACTGTTCAAACGCGGAGTTCTGTGCATCGTGTGTGTGTGCGCGCGGCGAGATCCTCAATGGAGAGCAGCTCTCTAGGCTGTGGGGCTGGTGGGATTGGTGTAGCTGAAGGTAAAGGCCCTTTCAGAGGAGGACAGAGAGAACGACTGATCTCTTGCTCCAGATACTCTGAGGAATGGAGCGAGGGGAGAACATGTTGAGGATGTGCACAGTGATTATGCTACAACTATTTGATGGTTGATGAGTGTCAAAGAGTGCCTGAAAATAAATAAAATGACTAAAATAATGATATAATACTTGCTGTAGTGGTAGATGGTCATTGAAAGGTGAATATTTAATAATTACATAATAATAGGGGTAAACAATGGTTGGTTTTAGATACTTACTGAAGGTTACAGCTGTGTTGCAGCAAAGGAATTTTCTCGCGTTTACCAGACAAGCAAAGCTATGCAAAGAGACACATTAAATGTCTTTCGGCACAGCGTAATGGAACCTAAAAGTATTTAGAGTAATCATTTTACATATTTAATGAAAATGTGATGTGGCTTCATGGGAATGGTTGGAGCCTGTCGGAGAGCACTTAGCCTAATGCTGTCTGGTGGGCAATGCGTGAGTGCAATAGCGGCAGTGTCCCGTTACTGCAGAAGCATGGCGTAGCAACATAAACAAAACCCGACGACATAAATAGAACATCAATGCGAACTGAAAAAACGCCATTGAGTTGCATCTGAATCACTTAGCTTTATATAATATTAGCGGTATTTAGAATTTATGTGTTTTCTAAACTGATTTAATTAAAATGCGCATTAATCTGCCGATCTTACCGTATATGAGAGACAAGGATCGATAAATCCAAGATGATCAGTGTGAAAAAAAATATATATATCCACAATTTGATCTCATGTTCGGCTGTATTCTGAAGCTGTGCGATGTAAACAGCAGATCTTTGAGCTCATGGCCTCTCATTACTCCTGATCCAGTCATTGCCATGTGATTCAGCCACTGAATTAGCCTCTTAAGACCCGAGAAAAATTAGTTTTTTCATGTCTTTACATTGTTTAGAGCATAAAGAAAAAATTTTTTTTAAATGATATTTCATTCATAAGTTATGCTATGAGACATCGGGACTCAATAAAATGTAAAAAAAAAAAAAAAAACCAAAAAAAATTAAAAAAAAAAAAAAAAAAAAAAAAGACATGAATGAACATGCATATAGGCAAAAACAATCGATTTTTTTAAATCACCAATACATTTTTTAGTTTTCAGGATTTTTTTTTTTTAGCAAAGTTTGTATAAAGATGATTCTCAACTATGTTATAACAGAATGATTTGATATACCATTTTTCTTTCTGCAAAATGTGTGTAAAATGGCCATAAACGGGTTTTCTCATTATATACAATGTATCTATAAACTAAATCTAATTAGCATATTAATGTGTTTTTGGGGAAACATGTAATGAAAAAAAGAAGTGTAATAATGTGAGTAATATTTGACAAGATTTTCATAATAATATATAATATTTAATAGAATATTGAAACATAATTTCTTTCCCTATTCATTTGTTGTGTTTCCCAAAATGCTAATAAACATGCTTTTAGTCCCAGTGTCCTCATATGAGGACATGTATGAAATCAACATCCTGTTTCGTTACAGAAAGTCATATTTTGATTTGAAACCCCATAACATTTCCCCGAGATGTTGATTTATGACAGACAGTTAAAAATTAGACTGATTTAAATGATAATTACTAAATATGATCATATTTCCATAAGAGTGTCACTAAATTAATATCAGACATTTTTGAAGACCAAGGCGAGGGAGTGGTCATAGTGAAACATCCAAACATTTAGTATCTCTGAAAAGCCCTGAATGTGCTCTGTACAGGACATCCAGACTTATGTGGCATGTATAGTCTCAGAGAAATTCACTCAAATATAATGTCCTCATATGAGGTCACAGGGTCTCAGGAGGTTAGACCTGCTACAGCACACAACCCAAGAGCTTCAAATAACACGCATCATTTAGTGCCAGTAGTGGGAAAAAGTCATGACAGAAATGGTGAAAGAATTTATTTGACAACTTCATTGTAATTAAATAAATAGTGAAATGAATATATTTGATAAATGCCAATGCAATTATGTAAGAAGCAATCCTCCTTTAATACAATTGCAATAAAATTAAGAGATCATAAAAATAATATCTGCAATGGCAAATGTAAGATTGCACAAGACCAGGACTAGTCGAGACCGAGTCAAGACCGAGTCCAAAGAGGTTCGAGTCCAAGTCAAGTCCAAGTCCAAAAGTTTCGAGTCCAAGTCAAGACCGAGTCCAAATGAGAGGGGAAAAAAGGATCCTCTTCAAGACCACATACTTAACTATTGATAATGTATGTGATGCGAGAGACAGCATATCTCCTATTCTAAGAAAATCATTTTACATTATTATTTGTAATGATCAAAAAGCATGTGCAAAGTAACAACTCTGTAGGACTGGGGTCTCCTAACTAGATCCTGGAGGGCCAATGCCCTGCAGATTTTAGCTCCAACTGGCCTTAACACACCTATCCTATTATAGCAGACATATCCACTGATTTGCATTGATTTTGCCTTTCTAATAGTCCTGCACGATATGAGGAAATTCTGCTGTGTGTGATAACAGTGGAGTTTTTTTTTTTTTTTGCAATGATGATTACTTGCGATAAATAAATGAATAATTAACTCCGCATATTAGGGCCAACAAATAAAACTAAATATTTTTTTTTTTACCAACGAGAACATTTGGCGAGTCCAATGACCAAGTCCGAGTGCAAACACCAACGAGTCCGAGACGATAGAAAAATGAGACCAGACTCGAGTACTACAGCCCTATGCATCAGATACTGTATTTTTCCCCTTCTATTTTGGAAAAAGATATAGTAAATCACAAATCAAGGGAAATAATATATTTTAATATGTAGGCTAATACTTTTAATTTTAATATATAATATAAAAATTATAATACATTTAAATATATGATTGGAATGGTAAATTCAGATTTTGTTCAGTACACAGAGAGAGAAAGAGAGAGAGAGAGAATGACATACAAATCAAATCAGTAAAGTACTCTTTAGTTTAATAACTTTACTGTGGCCAATTACATGCTCTCAATTGGTATTACTACATTGGTATGATCCTTTCAATTCAAGATGTTCATCTGAAAGTCAGCCTCAGCAGTGCTGATAAGACCGTCAGGATGGAAGTGAGCAGACAACAGAGCTACAGGAGTGTGAAGAGCTGGATTTTTGGCTTTACAGCATAATAGTATAAAATACTGAATTATTTTTATATAAAAAAGAGGGATAATCCCGTTCTGTTATTAAATGATAAACGGAGGAGCAATGAATATGTAACCCCCAAAAAGTGTAAACACTATGGTTTTGTAGAGCTATAAAAATATCTGTTTGTGCACCCCAACCCACCATAAAACATAAAAGAAACACAGAAATTTTGAAAGTGAGGAGAATGTCTGCCCCAGTTATAATAGTTGAGAGCAAGAAGGTCACACCATGCTCAGTATAACAACACAGCGCATGAGGAAGAGACAGCTATGTTTTAGTCACCTGTTCCTCAGCTGACTGGTAATCTCTGGTGGCATGAATAAAGAATCACAGCAGCCTCATGAGCTCTCACTATCTGCATTCAGTTGCCACAGGCAACTCACCACACCTGAATACAGCACTACAGACTGGAGGATCACATGGAAGGTAAATAGTGAAATTTAGGGACTTGTGTACAAAAATCTTTAACATTTAGTGAGACAGATAATATTTGTGAAGGCAGAACTACCATCGATTGTTCTGTCTTTCCTTTAAGACTAAAAGTTATGTGAAATATAAAGGGTTGTTGTGAAAACCATGATGGGTCAGCCTGGCAACATCAGTTCACAAGTGACCTAAATTACAACTGTATGTCAGCAAAATAATGATCCTTTTCTCTAACAGGACCAGAGTCCATATTCTCCAAAGACAATAATCAAAGTTATATTTAGCAAAATCACAGAAGCAGTAGTTTTCATTTTCAAACTGTATTCAGAAGCAAAGACTGGGGAAGTTTCCTTCATGGAATAACAAGCAAACAAACAGTAAATAAATAAATATAATTGTGACTTCTTATCTCACAATTCAGCCCTTTGGCTCTCGCAATTCCGAGTTTACATCTTGCAATTCTGAGTTTATATTTTGCAATTCTGACTTTTTTTCTCACAATTCTAAGTTCATATAGGCCTATCTCACAATTCTGCCTTTCTCACAATTACCAGTTTATATCTCTCTTAATTCTAAATTCTAAGTTTATTTTCCTCAACTTTCTGAAGTTGCATCTAGCAATTCTTTTTTTATGGTTTACATTTTGCAAAACAATGCAAAAGCTAATAGCAACTTTTTATCTCACAATTCTGACTTCTCTTTTTGCAACTGCAAGTTAACATCTCGCAATTCTGCATTTCTTGCAATTCTGAGAAGTCACAAGAAAAACGTCAGAACTGTGAGAAACTCAGAATAGCGAGACATTTTTTTTTTTATGTTTTAATTTGTAACTTTTTTTTTTTGTATTCCAACAACAAGGCCTATACATCCCTCCCACAAAGTAGGCTACTTATGAGCATTGCACTGAGACCATAGGACTGAGACAGATGCATGCTGGGATGGGTGGGGTCCTTTAGCCACACCTCTGACATATGTATCCTGTTTCTTTGTACAGACTTGTCAGGCCTCTAGGATCTATGAATGGAGACCAGTAGCTGTTGCAGAAAATATAGAAGGAACAGCTGAAGGCAGGAGCACTAGCATAAATAGATGATCCAGTCCCAGTCTCCTCTATATTTGGGAATATGAATTAGGTTTGTAGAATAAAATTAAGGTTATCAAGGTTGTAAGGTTCTGCTCTTCAACATGTAAGGTATGGATCATATTTCTCACAAGCAGAGATGAGCAGACTACGCTTGCCATATGTATTCTTTCAACTACTCAGTCCACACCTACACACATCAATCCTCACAACAGCATTAATCTATGGGATCAGCATCCCATATGAATCCCTCATCGCACTCTTGTCGCTGGAGACAAAAGGAGCGGAATGCGCCCGGGGCGGTTTATTCGCACGACAGCAGAGGGGCTGAGTTCAACTCTACCAGATTCCCACAGGACACTCCTACCGATGGTGATTTGCAGCTCTGTTACACGACTAAATCCTCAATTTTCAACGCAAACATCCACCATATTAATGAAACTGTGAGTATGCTATGATCTTTCTGTGTGAAGAATATTATCTTTGTTAAAATTGCGAAAATAACGCAAGCTTTACGCGATTTAAAGCGATTGTTTTCCTTATACAAAGTCGTTGTTTTTCTGTAAACGATGTTGTTTTAAATCCCAATACATCCGTTTTCTCCTTTCGCTTTACAATAAAAGTAACTATAATCCACATGCAAGAGGCGCGCGAGCGTTTTTTGTTGACAGTCATCCTACTATTTTTAACAGGCGCCTAAGATTACTATTTTGTCAAACATTGCGTTATAGTTGTTGATAAACATTTTCCACTGCTTTTTGGTCGATGTTTTTTTTTCATTTGTTTTGTACATTGTTTAACTTAAAATTATAGCCTGTTTTTTTCTTCTCCGTTCATTTATTGGGCTTCTCGGCATTACTCATCATTTAAAGTTAATCTAACGCGCTTCAGACCATTAGCCGCCGTTTGTGTGGGCGTTCCAGTGCACTAAAACATCCTCTGTCTAGACTATTTCATTAAGAAACACCGTATAAACTGTACTACACTTAAACGTTTCTTAAAGATCGCATAAGCATGAATTGCAACTGAACCGGTGGGGGACTAACTTGCAGAAGAATGCTGTCCGTGTGCATTTTGAAGAAGTTATGAGTTTTGTGGATTGCCTGAGTGGTTTAACTCTTGATCTTGAATCTTTCACAAATGACTAATCTGTTTTTGACATATATCATCTATATAAATATATAGTATAAATACTTATATAGATGATATGTCCTTTAGATAAAATATAGGCTAAAAGAATATCTTTAAAGAAAATGTTGCATGTTTTTATGTTAGATATCATATTATAGAATATTGAGGCTCACACATGAGGAAAAAAACATTGATTTTATCCAGAGGCCCAAACAGAGCAATAATCTGCAATTTGATGCAGATATTTTTGTTTTTATGGGCACAAAATATGATGAAATTCTGATAGATTGTAAGATAAATCAGTGTGATTTTTATAATAGCACAACAGACTACTTGCATAAAATGCATATAAATGTAACTTGTCATTCTATATTATATCTTTCAATAATATGTCTTAGTAAGATGATATTTAAATGCTAAGTTTTATGATCAAAGCTCTGTAGTTTTTATTGTGGGGGCAAAACATAATACAGTGCGATACAATGATGATTGAGAGATGTACAAATAAATATTCCTCAAAAGCCTGATGTATCATATTTGATACATTTTAACATGATTCTTCTAAAAAAATTATGTGGATAATCAAGTTGCTTCAGTGCTTAAGTGTTCGTCTTGAAACATTACAAACAATATAAAAGTTATTCATATGTTTACTTGTACCTCAGGAGTACTTGTACTTGTAGATGTATACAAGTACCACACCCTGAAGGTGGACATTTTTAGAATTATACTAAAAGGCTTTTTACTTGCAAAAAAGTATGAACTATCCATCAGATGACAGAAGGTATGTAACAGATTGTGTACAACAGGTTTTTCGGCAAAATTTTGATCATGCTGATCATTTAGAGACCTTAGAAATGCATGTATGAAATATGATACGGTAGGCTTTATGTTTAATATCACCCAGTATTACTTTTGTTTGGATGCACACAGAAAAAAAGAAATGATATGCTGAAAAAGATGTTTACACAATGCATAATTCTGATTTCAGGCATTCAACATGTGCTCTGTCCTATATTGGGCTAAAATCAACCCAAATTGTTTTTTTTTTAAACCCAGTGTTTTTAGAGTGTGGGGATACTCTGAACAAACAGGTTACATCTGCAATACTGATAGATCTTTTCTCAGACAGATGCTGAGTGTTTGGACCCTCCTTTCAACTGCTATTTGTGCAGGTATTACAACATTTGCTTATTAACCATACTGAACATACACAAGAATAACAGGACAAGTTGAATCATGTGTTAAGTCAATTAAACAGCCTACACATGATGCTAACTGCCAGCAGTTCAAAAGAACTTCTTCTCATCTTGCCATTCTAAACAAAAAGAATTCTCCCCCAGTGTCAGTCTCTGCAATATCTCAGAGGCTTGTATTCCACGGCCAGCAGTTGACTCTGGATCTTCCTGAGAGGACACAGAGGTTGGAGTTTGTTAGTGCTGATGAGAGTGAACAATTTACTATCTGGGATCACAAAACCATCTCTGTCCGGCCAAGTAACCCCAGCAAAGGCCATGTGAGCAGCGTCGGTAAGGGCTGGACATTCAGAATCCAACGTGTTACGTTTGACGATGAGGGAAGCTACATCCTGCTCAATCACTTTGGTTCAACCATCAGCAGTCATATAGTGAAGGTCAAGAGTGAGTAGTAATTTAAACCTCCTTCTCAGAATAATATCTCTGTGATTGTCCACATATCCTCACTATCTGTCATTCTCTCTTTTACAGCCAACAGAGAACTCATTGATCGTATCGCAGGTGAAACTCTGACCATATCTCTGGCAGGACTCAAGCAGAGTGATGCCATACTTCACTTTTACAGTAATAATTCATCTCTCATCCTGGTGGAGAATGGAGTTCCTGTGGGACGGAACCACCCAGACTACATCAACCGGCTTAAAGTGACCAGTGAAAAGATTCAGATTCTCAATGTAAATACATCAGATATAGGCAGATACAGGCTCACCGATCATAAAGGAAGACTTGTCTCAAACAATACAATGATACTAGTGGGTAAGAAAATACTTATTTTTTTCACACATTCAAATAAAAAAAAACTTTTATTCAGCAAGGATGCGTTAAATTGATCAAAAGTGACTGTTTCAATTAATCAAAACACATTTATAATGTTTCAAAAGCTTTCTATTTCAAATAAATGCTGTTCTGACAAACAAAAAGCTGCTTTTCTATCAAAGAATGCTGAAAAAAATGTATCACGCCTTCCACAAAAAATATTTAGCAGTGATAATAATAAATCTTTCAAATCAGTATCAAATCAGCATATTAGAATTTATGAAGAATCACATGACACTGAAAGCTGGTGTAATGGCTGTATTTTTAATTTTTTTTTAAAATGCAGCCATGGTGAATGTAAGAGATGACTTGAAAAACAAGAACAAAATCTTACTGACCCCAAACATTTGAATGGTAGTGTATATTCACATAAAATGTTTGTTTGTATGACTGTGTCTTGCTGATTTTATTTGAGAGATTTGGGTCACCACATGTATTAGTACATCTCTTGATGTCTGTTCTTTTCTTGTCTCTTCAAATATCTATGTAGATCATCATGAGTCTGCCGCCAATAAAGGTCTTATAGCTCTGCTGCTGCTCGGCATTCCTGGTGGACTCTGCTTCTGCTGCAGAAAGAGAATCTGCAAAAAGTGCCGGACCACTAAATCTGACACAAACACAGGGCAGCCCAACACCGTACCAGTGTCTATACCTTGCAGCAACACTATGTCTGATCCTTTAGGTCCTGGAGACATTGGCCAGGTAAAATAAATGTGAAGAGTCTGTCTCTCTCCCAACACTTTCCTGTCCATTCTCCACTATCCTGTAAACAAAAAAAGGCAAACAAAATCAATACATAACAACAAAAAAAACACTTTTTAAACTTTTGTGACAGAACCATGCTAAGCGACATTAGAATAATCTAGTGATTGCAGCTGGTGTACATTGTAAGTAATATTAATGGTTTGTTGTTTCTGACTAAAGGGCTACATCGCTGGTTATCCACCTCATCCAGATCAAGGCCAGATTCACTATCCTTATCCACCAGAGTCGAGCGGACAACCTGCTGTTCCTCCCAACCCTGTAAGTTTACATAGATAGAGATTTACCACAGATCCTTCTATCCAAAGTGACAAATAAGGAATGTTACAACACAAGAAGTTCATCCTAAGGTGGCAGCAACTTTCAAAACTTTTGAATACAAGTTCCAAATTGCTTAAATAGCTCTAGTGCAGCAGAATGGGAAAATAATGCAGAGTTAATTCGAGCACCATGATTTTGGAACATGCGTGATTATGTCATGCGTGAGTTGCTGTAAACGGTGCTAGATGCGAGAGCAACTCACAAAGGCATCCATCTAATGCATGTTTACATAGAAAAACTATATAAAAACAAGCAGTGGAAAGGTCTAAACATGTTATGTGTGCACGGTCCCCAAGACGAACATGAATTCTGGTTTGGATTTTAGCTGGTGGACCAGTATAGACATGCAAAACTTAATAAACCAGTACAGAGTTTATTTATCAATCAATTTTGTGCATTTTCTCTTTTTAAGGGCTTTTATCCTGAGTATCAAAACCCTGTCTACCCTCCTGCCTTTGGACCTGGACTTCCCCCTGCTCAGCCGCCCCAGTGGAATGCCCCTCCAACCCACTACAACCCATCTGCACCTGTGGTACATCCAAAATCTTTTGCAAATCTCTTTGCTTTTCATCCTGTGGGTTTATATTTCTATGTGCTTATTTGTAATCAAAGATGGCAAGCAAATATGTAAAGGATAAAATTAAATTAAAATGCATTAATTGCTCTGAAAGGGGCAACACAAAGTTAAAGAGATTGATAATTCTGACATTTGTTCACCTACAAGTTGTTCCAAACGTGTTTCTTTCTTCTGCTGAACACAAAAGAAGATATTTTGAACTATGTTGGTTAGCAAACAACTGACAGTAGTCACTGACTTCTATAGTATGGAAAAGAATACTATGGGAGTCAATGGCTACTGTCAACTATCAAAATATTATTTTTGTGTTGAACCGATGAAAAAAACTCATACAGGTTTGGAACAACTTGAGGGTGAGTAAATGAAGACAGTATTTTTATTTTTGGGTGAACTACCCATTAAGTGTTTTTGCATAAAACAATTGCAATTCTACTAATATTTGTCTTTCAAATTTTTTTTTAAATTAATAGCATACATTTACTACATATGATTTATTCATCGTTACTGTCTTTCAAATTCAAAGTTGCTTGCATTGAAGTATCCACACAAATGAACTTACTTATTTTAACAAGATTTTTTTTAACAAGATACTGTGTGTCCTCAGAACTATACACCAGTAATGAGCAGTGCTCCTCCTGGGCCTGAACCCAGCATGTTGAATATGAATGAATTGCCGCCAACTGCACCACTGCTCACACCTCAGCCTGAGGTAACATCTACCCTTTTTCTACCCTTCTCAGCCTAAATCATTAAAGGGGTCATAAGATGTTTTTTTTATAGTTCAATTTTTTTCTATTAAAGGGGTCATATGATGTTGCTAAAAAGAACAGTATTTTGTGTATTTGGTGTAATGAAATGTGTTTATGCGGTTTAAGGTTAAAAAAACACATTATTTTCCACATACTGTACATTATTGTTTCTCCTCTATGCCCCGCCTTTCTGAAACACGTCGATTTTTACAAAGCTCATTGGTCTGAAAAGCAAGGTGTGCTCTGATTGGCCAGCTATCCAGTGCATTATGATTGGCCGAATACCTCAAGCGTGTGACGGAAATGTTACACCCCTCACCATATTGTGATGATGCCCTGTCAGGCCGGAGCGATGATTCAAAAACATGAAAACCCATTATAAACGAGGCATTCGTTGCATCCAGTGGGGACATAATTATGGATTATAATGACTTATACTGTCTTTTTACGCATTGCGTTGCATCGCTCCGTGTAAACATAAAACCATGTCTGCATTTGTGATCAGAGAAATGACAAACCACAAGTCCTACTCTACACTGCCCAAAAAACCCCTTAACTCCAGTGACTCTGGTGTCAAGTTTGACGTGAACAAAGGAAAGTCTCCTGGCAACAACTTCCTGTAGTTACTCCAAAATCCTGAATTATCCCTGCACGTGATGTAGAAACAAACACTTGTTTGTTAGATTCATACAAAATCCAAGCCTTAAAAAGAAGAATAATAATTTTGGCCTTAGAACTAATAGGACCTTAATTAAAACTACTACTTAAATAGTTTATGATGAGACATATTCTTTCAGGACTCAGTCTAGCTTAAGTGCTATAGAAGGATATTACAATTTGAAAAAGAAAAAAAACTAAATCCCTTTATATATTACACACTGTACCTTAAATCCCTGTTAACTCTTTTCCCATGAAAAACAGCTTCCAAAGAAGCGTGTCTTTTTTCTTACCCCTTAATGTCACTCTCTTGCTGCTCTTTAATAGCAGAAGAAAAAGCTGTTGAATAATACCAACGATATTTTAAAAAGCTACCTCCATATTTTCAGCAAAATGTTTTCATATTAAAGTCACATTACAATATGGACAAAAGAATGACTTACCCTCTGAATGGGCTTTCAGCAACACCCAATGTTGACAGATGTGTATATTCCAGTAAAAAGCCATGCAATTTCCATAGACACACACTAGTTATGACCTGTCCTGAAGTTCAGTTTAAAGGTGAGAGTGAGCTACCATTTTCACTTTATCTAATCTCTCCATTCAGTCAGGCTGAAGAGGCTATATTCTACACTTTTGTGTAGAACTACATGTGATACGAAGCCATTATTTTATTATTGTAGGATGTAGTTGTGCAAATGTCCATACACTATTAGTGTATATATATTCACTCTATTTACTTTTTTGCCAACTTTTATGTACATGCTTACCACACTCTCTTGTTGTGTTGGGAAACAACAACAAAAACCTGTAACCTGAGAAACCTAAAATGTACATTGTTATTTTTACCTGCTTAAACAGCATCATGTAAACCCCAGGAATCAGACACATATATGAAAAAATGACAGGATTTCTGTCTAATTAAGTTAAACACATATAATGCCTGTTATTAGTAATGCATGTTAGTGAATTTAAATGTATTAACAGTGTTTCAGGGAATTTTCTCAACTACCAAGCCAGTAGTAACTTTTCATAGTGCTGTTAGCTGAAATAAAACAAATGCTGCAAGCAAAACATTTATACTTGAATCTTGGTAATGTGTGTAAAATATTACAGTGACATTTTATATAAGGATTTGTGTTGTACCTGCATATTGATGGGTCATTTTAACTGCCCTTTAACTGCTATCATTTTCTTCACCGGGACTACGTTTACTGTTCGTATTTTATATTATCATTACATGTTCTAAGTATAAATTTTTTTATTTTGTCTGACATCTAGTGCCAACTGGCAAAGTCATTTCTCTTGTTATGTGTTGCATTATTGGAAAACTAAATGTAATTTGTTGTCACACTTTGAACTATAATAAGAATGACAATAAACATGATTATAATAAAAAGTATTTATGTTGCTTTTAAGGTCTGCACATTAAGCATCTCCAGGATTTGATCAAAACAGACATTGCAACCAGTTAGGTTTCAGTAATTTCTCCATAACACAAAATATTCCACTGGATTCACCCAGTTGAAGGGGATATATAGAATTGGGTGTAACAAATAAATGAATAAATAAATAAAATATTAAAATAAATAAAAAGGTGGCGATTCTAGAACTTGAAAAGAGGATTTACATCTGATTCAGACTAAATGTAGAGGTTAATTTTTCAGTTGTTTTGCCAAAACTTTTGTTTTTCTGACTTCAGGGATTCATGTCAGGTTTTTTCGCTCCAAAATACAGTCACAGAAAAAAATGCCGTGGACTGTTGCCAAGGAGACCATTTATCAGACTGGGCTTTTGTTGAAAAAATTTATTTTAATTAACTGATTAAATACATTTTGTACTGTTGCCCTGTGCATCACATCCCTGAAGAATGTAATAAGCAACAAAAACATGATTATTTAAATGCAGTGTTAATACATTTTGCTGTTCTCTGTACCTCAAGACCCCAGAAACGGTGTTTGGACATTTGATTCAGTCCTTTTGTTAACAATTAAACCCCTCAGATGCCAGATCTACCAGTTGTGCTATGGGACCCTAAGATAAATTTGACTTAATTAGGAATCTTTTAACTAACACTTGGAATATTGAAGCACCCTCCCAGTTTAGACAAACAACGTGGTTTCTTTGCAGAGTTTCAAGTCACAATAGCATGCTGGGTTCCATGGATTTAAAACTGTAGCAAAGAGAAAAGAAAACTAAATATTTCGAGTCTGATGAGGATTTCCCCATCATTCCATTTTGCTTTTCTCCATCTCTCTTAGTCGTCTCTCCAACATCTTGATTTTGTCCTCAAGGTGTGTATCTGGCTTTGCAGATGTACCTATTCCTAACAGGACACAAACACACGCCAGGCCCGCTAGTCTTATAGCTGTGGCTTCTGCAGAGGCTCCAGCGTCGCTGAGAATCAATCCAAACATGCCCATGGCAAAGGTGACCTTTAGCAGCCACAGAACCTGCCTTACAGCTCCAACAACCAAACGCCGGATGAAGGCTATTATCCAGTAGGCCACAACAAACAGAAGGGCCCACTGAGCGACAAAAATCACTCCCTCCAGAGTAACTTCTTGGAAAGGTAGCTTGACTAGATAAAAACATGAAAACATACATGTGAATGTGTTTTGGTTTAAATAAATTGAAGCTTTCAAGTATGATTTTTGTACATTTACCGTCAATTCCTGCTGATTCCAAGATTTCCGTAACATACCGGATGACCATGTTAAGGGCGGATGCTACGGCATCTGACAGCCATTTTACACCACTTTGTAGAAACTGATGCCCATAAATAAACAAATACAATATCATTATGTTTTTCCAAAGAACATAACTTCCCAGTACAGCAAGCATCATTATGTAGTAAGTTATGTTGCATTAGCAAATTAGCAAACCACGTGGCAAATGACTCTCTTCTGCTTTTCCGAGAACTACTTTCACTTTTCAAAGGTCAATAACCTGGCATTTCAGAGCTCCTCAAGTTCACACAGGTGTTTATCACATTAACTGTTGAATATTGCATATTTGACAACCAGAAAGTTTACAAACATTACACTGAATTATTTTTTTTTAACCTAACAAACTTATTTTTGTCGAATGTCTTGCTTGGTTGCTACTTGGTTAATCATAGAGCCAGCATTAATTATATTAAACAATGGCACAAAAAGTTTAGTATAAACTTGATAGACTAGATTTTTTACAACGTCAGCTCACCTTGAGAGACAGGTCTACTCAAACTTGTGAAAATGGACCGCGCATTTTGGAGTGGACTAGACTGCTCGTCCCATTCGAAAGAGTGACACAACGGTATCAACTGATATGAAACTGAAAGTATAAGTGTGGTAAAATATAAACACCGACCCATTTTAAAAAGTGCCTTTAACTACGATTACAACACGCCGAAGAACCACCCAAGAGTGTTTAAATTCGTATTCGTGAGAAAAATGTTCTTCGCAAACAACGGGTTACAACAACTAGGAAACTGGACGGCCAGTCCTGAGGTGAGGTGCAACATGGAAAGAGTCAAAACGCTGAATTCAGGCGTCTCCGCTTGGGGATTATTAAATGAAGTTTAAGGTGAGCATTTTTATGTCAGAAATGGTCTTACAAAGGATGCCAGCTCTATCCTTCACTAATAAACCGCAGGTTTACGAAACTAATCCATTTCTTTTCCCGGAAAAATGCCTGCTTCCTCTTTCCTCCCTCGAAGGCGCATCCCTGCCGCCTACTGATGACTGAGACTGCGCCACACAATTATCCAGAAGAAACGCCACACAAATTGATCCCATATGAAAATTGTGAAAGACCATTTTGTAAACGTTTGAAAATGGAGTATAAATTTGTGTCCTACCTTTATTATATATGTATGTGTATATATATATATATATATATATATATATA